TCACCATTGCAGAAATTCCCATCTAAGCCAGAGACTCTTTTGAAGGAATGGATATCTATTATGAAATGTTGAATTATACTTTGTCAACCTAAAATTGATGAGAATTAAGGATACATGAGATGATCCTTACCAGCATCAAGTGTTAGTATCTTATATTGTCAATGTTGGTCTATGCATGTATGGTTTTACTTTATTTCTTTTTTCCTGTGAATTAGGCGGATGGCTACTGGCACAGTTGATATAACTTGGATATAGATTTTGTATTGTTCAATTATTTTACTGGTGTTATTTTTGTATATCCATCTAGATAGTCTAATATACATCTCAGTTGATATGTGATATGTGGGAATTAAAATAAATCTAATGTTAATGTCCTTTTTTCTTAATTTATGATGTAGTACCTTGACGAGAACAAAAAATTGATTCTGGCAATATTGGATAATCAAAACCTTGGAAAACTTGCTGAGTGTGCCCAGTAAGTCCTCTCTCTCTCTCTCACACACACACACACATGCTTTATGTCTGTATTGTGTCTTGAGTTATATTGCTGGGCCTGTATCACATTGATTGTACTTGTCTGATTTAGATTATAATGTTACGTCTGATCTTTTAGAGATGGTAGAATGTTGAACTAGCCTCATGTTTTGTATTGGTATCTTTTATTATGCAATGTTTTCAGACTTATTTTGATATTTCCCCATTTAAAACTTTTAAGGTGTTTGATGTCTCGTAATTACTGGATTAATTATAATAATTTATGGTTAACTTAGGTATGGCAATGGATTGTCTTACATATTTATTGATAGGGTTGGGGATACTCGGTAGGCATTTCATGCAATCAGCAGCTCTGAGTGGAGAAACTAATTGAGTTTTGGCTCCTTATTGTTTTTGTTTTTAATGGACAATTATAAATATCAAATGCTGGTCTCCATGTTGTGACTTCAGGATATAAATTTTATTCCTTAATGCAAGACCACAATATTTGTATGATGTATACTTTTCGGTTTTGATGATTAAGGTACCAAGCTCAGCTTCAAAAGAATCTGATGTATTTAGCAGCTATTGCTGATGCACAACCACAGGCACCGACGGTGCCTGCTCAGGTGGGTATTAAGCATGCCTTGATGGTTTGCTGATTCACCTTTTTATCCATGTTTATCATCTTTGTTTCAACACTTGGCAGATGGCCCCACATCCTGCTATGCAACAAGCAGGATATTATATGCAACATCCTCAGGCAGCAGCAATGGCTCAGCAACAGGGTATTTTCCCCCCAAAGATGCCATTGCAGTTCAATAATCCGCACCAAATGCATGATGCAGCACAGCAGCTACACCAGCAGCACCAACAAGCCATGCAAGGGCAAATGGGAATGAGGGCTGGAGGGGCCAATGGCATGCCTTCCATGCATCATACTGAAGCCACACTCGGTGGTGGTAGTGGTGGCCCAACTTCAGCTGGAGGGGGTCCAAACGATGGGCGTGGAGGAAGCAAGCAAGACAACTCAGAGGCTGGGACAGGTGGTGATGGCCAGGGAAGCTCAGCCGGCGGGCATGGCAATGGTGATGGAGAAGATGGAAAGTGACATGTTCGTATGGATGATTCCACATGGAAACATGTGCCTGTTGATAGTAGGTGTTTTCCTAAAGTAGCTGCTTTGCTCAGTGATCTTTGACAGATTGCAAACAGCAGCGAAAGTTCTCCTTAGTCTTTAAAGTGATTAGGTAGGTGAGTTGTGTTGTAAGTTCCTTTGCATGGAATGGATCCTGGCATCAGATGAAACAAGTGGTGAAAGAAAAGACAGACTTGGTTCTAAGGGCTCTTAGAGATGGAAACATGTGTTGTGTACTTGGATGTCTGTCAATTTGTAACTCATAAATGCATGCAGCATGCGCCACAAATTCTGATCCTATTACAAGTTTTGCTGGTAGTTTGTTTTCCTGTTGGTATGTGTATGAACTCTTCTTAGCAATTTGTAACTCATAGATGGCCGTTGAAGGTTTTGTATCGTCTCGCCGGTTTGTCAACTGGGCGTTCTCATTTGCAATGCTCAAAAGGATCAATTAGAATGCAATTTTCAAGTTTTACTCTCTCAGTCCTCATTGCAACATCTTTTTGGTTTTCTGCCGTCTTGTGATATAAGAGAGAATCACAATATTGAATTTTGATCGAGAGTTACGAGCGAGCGTTGGTTTCTTTTTCTTCCTCTATACTTATCCTTTCCTTTCGCAAAAACAGAGAAAGCCCTCTGGTGGTGAATATAGGTGGTGGTCACGTCTGAATACTAAAGATAAAGAACGATAAAGTTGATGCACATTGAAATGTTGATTTTCCTTTTCCTTTTCCTTTTCCTTTCCCTTTCTTTATAATTGAGATGTTGACCTCACAAATTTATATACTTAGAGAATAATGTTGAGCTTATATATCTAGAACTTAGGCCATTTTTAATTTGGGAAGATAGAAATGTATCTGTGCACAACATATTTATCTTAGGCATGATGCTAATATTATAATTACTAACTTAAACCCCAAAAGAAATAGAATAACAATGGGGCTTAAGCACATTTTGAGGGGTTGACATTGACATGGATAGATAGTTAAGAACAGAAAAGGAAACAAAGACAAGGAAGGAATGTGACCTAAACGATACCCAAATTCTATTTATTTTCTAAGGCGAAGAATAACAAAAGAAACCCTTATTATACTACAAACAAGTGCACATTTCTTTTCCGTCTCATTATGAATAATGAATTTTCACCATACACGTGTCATAATTGGAACTGTTGATTTTCTAAATCACAATTTAAAGATCATCCCAGCAAACCAAATTTAGCATTTGGTCTACTTATTTTTGTCTCCAGTTGGTTGGAACATAAAGGACCATCCATCATTTTTCCTTCTAGGATTTGTACTTCTACGGTTAGTGTTTTTTCAGTATTGAAACTAATTGAAAAAAAGACAAGGGCATGAAGGTAGAAACCTCTTCTGTATTGTGCACCGAAATATTAAAAAGGGGATTTAAATTTCAGTGATTCTTGGATTGAAACTGATACCTTTCCACTTAGCTAAAGTGCCTCCATGGATTTACTGTATTGCCTTTGAAAGAAATAATTTCAAAGCTGTTTTAAGTTTTTATGTATTGCCAGAACAGAGTGAAGAATGGAAGCTGCTTTTACATTCATTTCTTTTCCCTTTCTTTCTCATGTCGATTGATTCCGTTCCTGGTTATGTTGTTCCTGCATCCTGCTCTTTTTAATAGAAAACAAAACAAATCACTACATTTTTTTGTATAAATCGTATAGCCGAGCGGCTATACTTTTTTTGACACATCGCCCGAGCCGCTAGGCGGGCGCTAGCCACTAGGAGGGTTTTTTTATATATAAAATATATATAAATAGTATACTCGGGATTTTTTATAATTAAAAAAAAAAGAGTCTAGCCGGCCGGCTTTACTGGGTTCTTTTTTTATATTTTTTTTCATAAATAGTTTAGCCGTGCGGTTATAATCCTTTTAAATATATTTAAAAGGTATAGCCGCGCGGCTATATGTTTTTTGACACGTGTCGCCGAATCATTATGTGGGCGCAAGGCGCTAGCCGGGTCCCTTTTTTTATATAGTGTAGCCGCGCGGCTATACTCGGTATTTTAAAAAAAAAAAACGTATCGCCGCGCGGCTATACTTGGTGACACGTGGCGCCGATCTCTAGGCGTAGGCGGGTCCACCTTTTAATAAATAATATAGCCGCTGGGGTCTTTTTTCTTTAGTTTTTTCTATAAATAGTATAGCCGCCCGGCTTTACTGGGATCTTTTTAATTTTTTTTAATTTTTATTTTTAATAGTATTGTTTTCGGGATACAGTTGGCTTTGTGATCCTGATTGTATAGCATATACTATGGAACTAGATGATAACTATATGGAAACAGATAACAGGAAGGAGATAAATAGTCCTGCAGTAATGTTAAATAATTCAGAGTCATCTGAGCAAATTCCTTCCCCTGCAGAAGCATCCAACAAATAGAGTCATCTGAACAAATCCCCTCTCCGGCAGAAGCATCCAAAAAACCAGACTCATCTGAACTGAAGACCTCTTCTGCTGAAGCGTTCAGTGGACCTGAGTCAGCTGAAATGAAAATGTCTTCTCCTGCAGAAGCGTCTAATAAACCTGATGTAACTGAAAAGAAAATTGCTTCTCCTGCAGAAGCATCCAACTCTGGAAAGAAAACCCCAAGATCATTGAAGGGCAAAGCTAAAATAATGAAGAAAACTCCCATTCATAACAGCTTGAAAACGAGCAAGGCAAAGCTAAAATAGTGAAGAAAACTCCCATTCATAACAGCTTGAAAACGAGCAAAGGTACAACTAGCTCATAGGTTAATGGGAGGAAATGGAGGCGGAATAGGGGTAACAACGAGAGTAGCAACAAAAGAGAAGAAGATGCCAAGAATATGAATTCAAAAAGAGAGAAACAAGAGAATATCACTAATCAAGAGCATGCCGAGAAGAGCCATCAGGCTCAAAAGAATCCAGGAAAGATTGACGAATCCGAAAAGAGCCGACAAAAACAGAAGAATACAGAAAAATGACGTGGGTCAGACAAGAGTGTGAAGAGTCTAAGGAACAGCGAAAAACATGATGAAAAGAGGGAAAAAGCTTGGTGGTGTGATCTTCATGTGCAATGGAAAGACAAAGCCAGACTGCTTCCATTACCGTATCATGGGTGTTTCAATGGGTAAAAAAGACGTTGTGTTGGGTATCAAACCTGCGTTGAAGCTTTTTCTCTTTGATTTTGATCTTAAGCTTTTGTATGGGGTTTACAAAGCATCCTCTTCAGGTGACCTAAAACTCGAGCCAAGAGCATTTGGAGGGGCCTTCCCTGCTCAGGTCACATTTTCTTAGATCTGTCTCTCCTTGTTTGCTTTGTTTAGTTAACCAGACATGTATGCTGATGACTTGAAAACTTTAGGTGCAGTTCAATGTGGAGAAAGATAATACAAGAAGACAATACAAGAAAACTATAATGAGAAAAAGAAGTTCAAAACAGAACTTACAGTTCGACAAGTGAGATAATGTGCCCCCTTCCTTTTATTAAGTTTTCCTGGATTAAGCGATCGTTGTTTCTTTCCATATGCTGTAGTAATAATATCCAATATTTTCCTTTGCAGGGGCGGAGTTGTGTTAAGGCCAGGGGTGGCTTGGCCCCCACAATTTATTTTACCCCTTTGAATGTATATATTGGATGTGGTAACAAATGCAAAGAAAAATTGCTATACTTAAGCCTATGGCCCCTCATCACAAATCAATACTTATCAAAATTGTATTTCAATATGAATATAATAGTAAAATCATACTACATTTATGAAAGAAAACCACTCATTTCAATTTAGTGCTTTTATAGGCAATAGTTTACTCAATAGGCCAAAAAAAATATACAACTAAACTTTTTGTGTTTAACGTTTTGGGCCCCTCAAATATAAAATCCTAGCTCCGCCCCTTTGGGTGGTGGAGTTGTGGGATAGAGTCAAGTTTTGGGTGGCTCTTTGGGCGTCGGCTAATCCTGTTTTCAATGATATCCCTTACCCTACCATTATGCGTAATTTGCTAGCTGTAGTGAATTAATGTGTTGTGTTTTGCTGGTTTCTTGTTTGTTTGTTCCTGTTTTGGCAGTGTTTTTTTTCCCCTGCTGTTTGTTTCTGGGCTCTGTGCTTGTTTCTTGTTTCTGTGGGTGGATTTTTTGTCCACTCTTTTGTTCCCCTTTCCCTTTTTTTTTTTTTATATAAAATTTCTATTCAAAACAAAAAAAAAAATCCAATATTTTCCTTTCAGGTCAGGAAGCTCACAGCACTTTTCCGACCAGCTCAAGTCCATTCAACTGCTCTAGCCACTCGTTCTCCAGTCCAGGCTAAAGTTTGGGATCGGGAAGTTCATGAAGGAGCTAAGGAATCGCTGCCACATGCCCACAGGGATGGACATGCTAGAGATCCTTATGCCAATGGTGATGCCAGGAGTTATCCAGTGTTAGCTCATGAAAGGGACCAGCGTGTTGCATACCGAGATGCGGCATCTGTAAGGAGAGGAAACTTCTCATGATTTATACCTTACTGAAAAGGAATATATCGAGCTTATGGTCTTCGAGGAGAGAGAAGAAATGTGTCTCCTCGTATCGTTCCTCCAGCTCTGTAGATGCGTATGCAAGGGATCCATATTACGGCTACTCCTATTATGGTTCTTCATCATTGGACCCATATCTGGCACCCCAGAGGAGAGAGAATCATCTAATTGAAACTGATCGTGTGGAGAGATTATACTCAACACATGCTGTTGGTGGAAGGAGAGAGAACTACCTGATTGAGACTGATCCTGTGCTAAGGAGAGAAACTGATCGTGGAGAGATACTCAATGCATGCTGCCCCTGCCGATGCTGCATCCGGTTATAACCGGACAGAAAACTACCAGGCAACCAAGGCTAATGCATTGCCTGCGCCAGTTTCATCTCGTTATGCTTTCGCTAAATGGCGCCCTCGCATCCCCTGTACTGTATGTGGGCATTTATTTTCTTCGATTTTTGTTTTTTTTGTTTTCCAAGAATAGGATTAAAAAAAAACTGCCCTGCATGTGACAAATATTTGAACTTTCAGACCCAAAGAAGGGACAAATACTTGGAACTTGTTAAATGGTGCCGCCGAGGTTGGAGTATAAATATTGGAACTTATTTATTTTGCTTTTGCATTTGAATCATAGCTCTCTTGCTCTTCTCTTTTCTTTTTTGGTGAGACTTGCTCTTCTGGTGTTTGATAAAAAATCTTAGCCGTAGACTTGAGCCAAGACCAAAGAACAAGAGGTTGTAAATGACTTGACCACAGAGTGCACTGAAATTACTCCGTCACCTTCGCAAGTTTCTCCGGGAGAAATACTACTCATATGTTGTCGAAATGTAGTTGAAACTTCCCTCACAAATTTCCAATTTTCCAAGACCCCAATATCACAAATCTTATCCATTCTTCATGTTGACTGGCTTGATCAGGGTCCAGTTCTTGTTGGATATCATAATTAATTCTTAGGCGAAATTAACGAGTTTCGGATCATCGCCTATCAAAAACACGATTCGTCTCCAACTAGTCCACATTCCATCCATACACAAGCTTCATGTAATTTAATTTGTATCATTTGCGTAAGCTTATTGATTTTTCTCCGCCAAGTATTCACAACACAATTAACCTTAAGTTTCAGCCAAGTGCTACCTTTCATTCCATCTTTTATTTTTCTCCGGTCGACTAATTCTAACATATTGAATTAATCTTGATGAATTAAAAATTTGGCGTGGGCCCATCTTAGTCCGTTTAGTAGTCCGATATGGGCACGGCCTGAGCCCATATAAACTTGGATCGGGATTGATGATTTTCTTAAATGGACGAGTCTGGCACGGCCCGTTTATTAAAGGGCCGACTTTAAACGGGTTGGGCTGATTCTCAATGGGTCTGTCTGGCTCAACAACACTGCCCGTTTGACACCTCTAGTTCAAATCATATCTAGTTGTGGCTAGTCCATCGTGATGTAACTTTGTTGTAAAGTATATTGGTCAGTTGTAAAAGTAGTGTAAATATGCTATTTTTTGTAATAAAAATAATAATAATCATTCTTCCAAAAATTAAATTAATTGAAACTTGTTTTAGCGATTCATATATATCAACAAAACGACCACTTTATCATAAAGATTTTAATTGCTATAAACTTCGTTGATGTATTCGATACATATGGGTCACCGACAATTTCGATTATGACACGTGTAGAGAGGATTTCATGCATCCTAATTTGAGTAATTTCAACCAATCTCAGTAAGTACGTATAGAAGTAAGTACGTATAGATGAAGACCAGGCCTTGGGGCGTTTTCCAGTCGTTTTCATTACACCACCCTCATACTAAGCTCGCAAGAATGACCCAACCAAACAGAAACGCAGTCTCTAATTCTCTTCCTGTCTTCCTCTTCTCCATTCTCTTCTCTCTGTCTTTATCTCTCTCTCTCTCAAAACCAACCCAAGCTAACCTAAGCTTTAGCCTTACAAACACAATGAACCCAAAACCACCCACCATGAAAGAAGACCACCAAAAGAAACTCACCCCCTTCAAACTACTCAAACCCGTCGCCTACCTCCTCCTCCTCCTCCTCTCCTTCACCTTTGGATACCTCTCTTCCCCTTCTTCTCCAACAACCCCCTCTTTTTCTCCTCCCTCCCCCCAACTCCCCCAACTCGTCAACCTCCCAACTCAACTCGACCACTTCCGACTCACCTCGCACTGCGCCACCCCACTCCCTTCTCACCTCATCCGCCAAACCATCCTTGACCGCCTCTTCAAATCCACCTCCCCCTTCGTCAACTTCCCCCCTCCCTACGCCACCCCCCTCCTCCGCCGCAGCCGCGTCAAAGGCTGGGGCTCAAACGGCGCCGTTTTCCAAAACCTCATCCAAAAAGTCCAACCCCAAACCATCATCGAAATCGGCACCTTCCTTGGCGCCTCCGCCATTCACATGGCCGGCTTGACCCGCCAGCTCGGCCTCAACGACACCCAGATCCTCTGCCTCGACGACTTCCGCGGCTGGCCCGGCTTCCGCGACCGGTTCCGCGACATCGGCCTCCTGAACGGCGACGTTTTGCTGCTCTACCAGTTCATGCAGAACGTCGTCTCGGTCAACGCAACGGAGACGGTCTTGCCCATTCCGTTCTCTACCGGGTCGGGTCTTGACTGGCTCTGTGAGATGGGCGTGTTCGGGGATTTGATCGAAGTGGATGCTGGTCATGATTTTAATTCGGCCTGGTCCGATATTATTCGGGCTTACCGGATTTTGCGCCCCGGTGGGGTTATTTTCGGGCACGATTATTTTACCGCAGCGGACGACCACGGGGTCAGGAGGGCGGTAACTTTGTTTGCCCGAGTTTACGGACTCAAGATTAAGCTTGATGGGCAACATTGGGTCATTGAATCGAGTTAATTAAACTTACTTCGTATAAATTCTAAATCTTATAGATGAGGCTTATGGTGTTTGACTACTTGCAATCTGGAAATAAATATGATAAAATCTTAGAGTGTAATGAAATAATTGTTTATTAATTACCATTCTATGATAAAATTTGAGGTGACATTTTTGTTTCTTGCTAGTTGTTTGATGTTTAATAATGTAATTAATTGGTGACGACACTTTATTGATATTTTATTAATGGGTTGATGTTCGATGTGTTCGATTAATTGGTATGGCGATTGAAACAAACTAGAACCTAATTGCTTGGAAAAGAACAAGGAGTGACATTTTTTTTTTTTTAGTGTGGTGTTGCTGCATAATTATTATTTATTTGTGATGGGTATATATCGAATTTAAAGCCTATTATACAATCAAATTGACATATTATACAAAAATTTTTATAGAGCTTATTTCAATAGAAAAATTAAAAATTGGCCACTTGTTATTTTTTAATTATTTTTTAGTATATTAATAGTTTTTAAGAACCAATTAGAAAATGACAAGTGGCTAGTTTTGAAGTTTTCTCTCCAAATAGACTCTATATGGGTATTTGCATAAGAACATCTCTAACCGATATGTCAAATTGCCACATGGATATGAAATGGCCAAAATTAAAGGTTAAAGTTGCTCCAATATAGTAGTCAAAATCCTACATGGATTTGAAGGATGGAAGTGATATATCAAAAAACTTTTTCAGTCATGAATTGCTGGTTTGAATTACATTTGTGTTCTTAGTTGAACATGTTGGTTCTAATGTTATTTTTTCCAGATTATCCCAAGATGACACCTGGCGCCAAGTTTTTTGCACTAAAAAAAGCCAAAATAATCCCAAGATGACACCTGGCGTCATCTCAGCGCATCACCTTTCACCACTTGCACAAGTGTACGTCAATAAACATGGCCACATCCTTACTTTTTACCCTAAATTCTTATTTTATTATTTTTTCTTATGAAATTCATAACTAAATACACAAAAATGTTAAAAATGTTTCGAAAATTGCTACGAACTCATTGACACTTCATCTTCCTATTGAATTCCATGTTTCATGGTTACGCTACATTAGTATTTTATTATTATTTACCTTACATTATTATTATATTACTTTTTAGCCTCTACATTTGTTAATTATATTTACTCGAAATTATTATTTTTATTATTATTTTGAGTGCGAATAGACCATTTCTGGTGTTAATCAGTTTCTCTCTTCTTCAATTTGTTATTTTTTTTTCTTTATTAGGGTGAAGGGATGTTTTGAAAAATTAAAAGAAAAAATTACATTCCAACCATTGTATAACATCAGAAAAAAGTCAATGAATAACCCATTATTTGTATAGCTTAATTTGGATCCCAACCATCTCATTCATTCATACAAAATTGACGGATTACTGACTATTAGGCCTGGGCACGGTCCGGTTTGGACCGGTTCTCAGGCAAAATTAGAACCGAAACCGTACTGTTCATCCGGTCCGGTTCGGTCCGGTTTTGACAAAAACTCATGAACAAAACCGACAAAATCCAGACCCACCGGTTCCGGCTCGGTTCCTGCGGTTCCCGGTTTTGAAGCTTCAAAATAGAAAATAACAGAAAATAATAAAATCAAAGAAAAAAAAACCAGAAAAACAAAAGAAAATATCTTATCTTCAAAAATCATATACCTCGTTTTCACAATAACAACTTAAAAAGAATCCCCAGATCTACAAGATCTTAATCAAAATATACAAGAACTTAACACATATATGTGCATTGCATAGAAAGTAGAAACAAAAAACAAACCAGAAAGAGGAAGAAGAAGAAAAAGAAGAAGGAGAAAGAGGGATGAGAAAAAAAAAAGTCAGAACCACCATAAGGGGGATGAAGAAGAAGAAGAAGAAGAAGAAGATAGAAAAAAAATTCGAAAGCAGCAGAAATGGGAAGAAGAAAAAGGAAGAGAGAAAGGAGGGGAAGAAGAAAGAGAGATATGGAAAAAAAAAAAATCGAAACCAGCAAAAATGAGAAGAAAGGGGAAGAAGAAGAAAGAGAAAGAAGAAAAAGCAAAAGGGATAGGAAAAAAAATACGGAACCAGCAGAAAGGGGAAGAAAAAGAAAGAGAAAAAAGAAGAAGACGAAAGAGGGATAGAAAATAAAAATTGGAACAAGCAGAAAGGGAAAGAGAGAAAGGGTTGAAGAAAGTAAAAGAAGAAGAAGACGGAAGAAGAAGATGAAAGAAGAAAGAGAGATAGGAAAAGAAAGAAATAAAAAGGAACCAGGAGAAAGGGTAAAAAGAAAGTGCGAGAGAGGAATTGTATGGTAGTATAGGTGATAATCATGTGTGTGTGCGTGTACGGTAAGTCCTTACACAACCAATAAAAAAGAGCAACCTATTAAATATATATATAATTTATAATATAAATATATATTAATTAAGCCGGTCCGGTTTGGACCGGTCCGGTTTTTAGAGATGGTAAACCGGAACCAGAACCGCACAGAACCGGTCCGGTTCGGTTTTGGTCAACTCAACCCGGTTTTTTGGTCAACTCGGTTTTTTCCGGTTCGATTCGGCTCGATTCGGCTCGGTTTCTCGGTTTCCCGGTTTGAATGCCCACCCCTAATCATATCCATGTTCAATATCCGTATAAAATTCAGGCATGCAAATCCTCATATATATAGCTGAGCATATATTCAGTGAAACATTAACAAAATATCTTAGATTAATAAAGGGAAACAATTTCCTTCCACCTAGGTGAACCCATCATAAATCCGTCAATTCCATAATTTCCGTCAATTCCTCGTGTCACAATTTGTGGCACGTCCTCGTAGGTCTCGGTAGCATAAAGTTACTCGAGCCGCATTCCTCGCAAGACTCAGAGGACACTTGGTCCACCCGAGCCACATTCCTAGCACCACAAAGTTTGA